TAACTGGTACCAACAGTAACGAGTCAAAAGTAACACAGAACAACGGCAACAATACTTCGCTATTTGTGAAGAGGTTGAACAGACGAGAGACTTTTTGTATGAAGCGTTATCCACGTATATCCGAACATTATGAATTTGGTTTCGCTAAATCATTACTTATAACTAATAATTTTTTCTTGAATATGATATGATTATAGATTATATATGATAACGTGGGAAATAAAAAAATGTGTGAGAAAAATATTTACAAAGTTTCAACCAAGGAATATAATACGGTCCGGTCAGAGAGTATTATATTTATTTAAATAAATAAATAAATATAATACTCTCTGACCGGACCGCTACTGGAGGCGTTTCTTCACAAACACAAACAGGCAACCACGTCTATATATGGTCACACATATTGAAGTAAAAAGCTGCAGAAACCTGCCCTGTTAATGTGACAATCTTTTTACTAAGATGACGGTAACTACTACAGTATTAATAGAAATCCAATTACCCAGTACCGGTAATAACACAAGTAAAAAGTATCAGAACTATAACAATACGAAAACAATATCTAAAAGTTAATACAACAATATTCTTGACTAGTCGTTTCCCGTGGCGTTGCCCGCTTCTAACTATGTAGTACCCGTATATCATTCCCATTGGAACCCTTCATGAATCTGGTCTTATATTGTATTATATACTTAATGTTAATTACATACATAATACCTTCGTAAAGTTTCAGCCAATTCAACTGATCGGTTATTTTGTACCATTTTATATGTGCGTCTTTAGTTTTACATAACTTTTTTATTTATGAACCGATTGACATGAAACAAACACTAAATGTTAAATGGAGCAAACCGTAATGCAATAATGAAAACCGCATTCAAATCAATTAAGCCGTTTCTGAGATTAGCGTGCACAAACCTATATATAGATAAACAGACAAAGGAACAAATATCTAAAAATTATTATTTTGGGTTCAATTGCGTTTATAAAGCCCTATAATAGTTTTTCTTATATATCTTCCATTATTATAGACAGCAATCGGTTACGATTTTATTATTTGTATTGATTGTGATGGACTGAGCAGACGAGAAACTTTTTCTTTATAAATTGTTTTAAATACTTTATATGGTACAATATTGCGATTGTTTTTTGTTTGTGCAAACCCTATTTAGGCCTACGCATATATGAACAGCATCAATTTAGTTCCCAAGGTTATATTGCAATGAATATGTTATTAGTAGGGTGTCTTCGTCCGCATCGCTAAAACTTTAATACTAATACAGGGCTGACACAACAAGCGCTAAGTGGATATGCAAATTAGATCAATACTAGTAGAGTAAAATAACTAATTATTAATTTGGACCTGCTCAGTTCAATTGGATGTACTGCAATAATTTTTTATTACCTGTGGTTCACCTCAACTATAGATAGCATTATTATTTATAGTAATATTATTTAAAGTAAGTCTGGAAACATCAATGAAATCGATATATTATTTATATATATTATCCCAAATAAATCACTGATCGAACATAATAACTTATTATTTTTAATGATCATTAAAAAATAACAATGATTCCTATGATAACGTTCAATGTGGTCCTAAAAAAATTACGATTTTATATAATAATAAAATAATGTTAATATAGAACTACCTGAATTGACGCCTACATCTTATTAAATTTTCTCTCTCTCTCTCTCTCTCTCTCTCTCTCTCTATCTCTCTCTATCTCTATCTCTTCCATTTATGTAAGTCATATAATAATTCCACGAAATTCCTTTTGTTTATGTTATTTGATTTGGTGGGTAGTATCTTTTGATTGTTAAAATATATCCAATGATGTTCTAAAATTGATTAAGGTACGATGGATCTGACGTGCCTAAAAGTACAAAAGTCACTAAATAAATAAAGATAAATAAAGAAAATAATATCTACTGTAAACTGTGTACTGTGTTTGGACAAAACAAATATAAACGTATATTCAAAATTTGCTAAAAAAAAAAAAACAAATACCGTCAAAAAAAGAACCTTATTATTTTTGAATTCGCTTTATAATAAACTGAAGTACTAAAACGACAAATTTTCATTAGGTACAACTAAGAGTATTACACAACAAAACTATACAACCTAAGTACCCACCATCAGTGGGAAACTTCGGTAGACTAGCGAGCCATTTTTGGCAATTCGCCAGCGACAACAATAGGGCTGTCGCGAGATAAGTGAAGAAAAATACTGTATATACAAGTAGAATTACGTTACGGGTCCCATATGGCACTCGACCTTTGATGAAAACGCTATGTTCAAGCGTACCCATATTTATGTATGCCAATTTCATTTTTGAGATGAGAACAAAACCTGCTTTAAAAGCTTTAACCGATTTAATAATATAGTTGTTTCTTAAGTAACTGTATTTTTCAATTTCGAAGAATTATTTGTTTAATTGAAAATAATTAATTCTGTTACTGGTTTTAAGCCAATTTCATCAAAAAAGATTTGTTAACGTTTTATGTAGCATAACAATATAAGATGTTATTCGTAGATATTTTTAATTAAAAGTGGTTAATTTAAAAACAAATTAAATATATTTTAAAGAATTGAATATTTGAAATTTTATTAAAAAAGATTTGTTAATGTTTTATGCAGCATAATAATATTAGGTGTTATTATGAAGTTTGGGAAAAAATATAAAAACTTATAAATATGAAATTTGTTAAAAATAAAATAGATAAATGAAGAGTATGAAGAAATATAATGTATTATTTTTAATATGAAAATTTGCTATAAAATTTCCTGGTATATTCTAAAGTAATAGTGACATCCCTATGTACTGCGGTTTTTGTTGTCTCTTAGGTAATAGGTATAATGTGAAAGCTGTCCTATATTTTAATACTAGTTATGCCCGTGACTTCGTCCATGAGACTGGAACATATTGATTGACCTAAATAAAATATAGCCAATGCTTCTTCATCCCAAACGACTGACTTGACTATGACTTTACTAAATAAACAAAAATTTCAAACAATAACTTTTTAACAAAGAATTAAACGGACGAAAAACTAAGCCAAAAAGGAAAAATTCTATTTCTCACTTTTAAGAATGTTTATATTTTAGTTAAACGAAGGGTTGCTTGTAACAATTTAAGTATTTGTTAATTTTCGAAAATAATTTAAAAATTTTCAATATATCCTATTGATTATTTAAAAAGTGCTCTCATCATATCCAACGTTTTTTCAAGTATGATAATGGATTGGTAACCCCGCTTGCGCTATCGGTATACGCTAGTGGGGTACCAAATAGAGATGATAGGTGAAGATGACAGATCAGTTAGCCCATCGTGACAAATTCCAAAAAAAATTACCGCAATAATTTCCAGGAGGAACCACGTAAAAGTCGACCTGAAAGGGTATATTGCTAGCAATAGAGGTTACTAGATTCCCATTACTATCAATCCCTTTTAGCCATTATCTGTACATTGCTGAACATAGGCCTCTCCTATTATAAAGAACGGGAATGTTCTTTATGGCAATTTACCATTGGAGGGAATTTTCCAGTAATAACCAAAACTGGCAGGAAAATTGACAAGCACAGTTGGACTTTAAATGATGTTTGAAGAAAAACGCTGCTATCTATCCTTCGACTATTAAGTTCTCTTAGTTGCCTCTTACGACACCCACGGGAAAGCCACTCCCTGGCTCATTTTGTGCCGAGACCACTCGCCAATTTTCAAAATAATCAAGCAGGACACTCTTAAGTGTATATATTAAATGTGTACATTTGTGCATGATTGAGAATTAGCATCGTTTCCAGTTTAGTTTTAGTTTTCTTAACCCATACCCCATACTATACTTCCAAATATATTCATGTTCAAAATAAGACTCCATGGACACCTTAGAAACTCATTTTTGATAAATTCATCACGATGGGCCAACTGACCTGCTTCATTTTCATCTGTCATCCCTCACTGGCGCCCCCCATATATATGTATATATGTAATATTTATTTTGTATAGGTATACATTATTGTGATTTTGTGTTCATCCCAAAGGTTGAGTGGTAGAGAATGCTACTATACTAACATTAAGTCCGCTTTTTGTACCTTATTTTATTTTAGTCAGTAAAGTTATTTAAATAAAAAAAAATACCCATATATTGTGCTCGTTTAACCATTTTACATGTAATAATAGAATGACGATACGTATCCTAAATCCTTTACAATGGGCAATGCCCAATAACATTTCCCGCCGTTGAGTAAATAACGAAATAAATTTCCATAGATTTCGCATTCAATTCTGTAGTCTGTGGTCACTCTCGGCAAACAAACAAACTCATAACATTTCCATTTACTAGAAATACTATATACTAACCACAACCCATTTATGTGTATTATAATTTAAACACTAAATGCATTAAATAAATATGAAATATAAAATCATATCATATCATATACCAGCATCTTCATCAGATGATATCATCATATAATGATTAGTCCGTCCACTGCCGAAAATATGCCTCCCCCATAAATTGCTATAAGAAACGGTTCTGAGCCACCTGCATCCACTAACTCCCTGCAATGCATTTCAGGTCGTCACTTTATCCAGCGGGTGGTCGTCCTACACTGCTTTTGCCCATACGAGGACGCCACTCAAGAACCTTGTTTACCCATCCAGCCTCAACCAGCCCCATTGCCACTTCAGCTTGCTTAGCCTTCGAGCTATTTCAGTGATTTTAGTTCTTTGCGGATCTTCTCGTTTTGGATAGTGTCACGCAAAAAAAATCCGAGCATAATCTCCATAGCTCATTGAGTAATTTCAAGCTTTTACATACGGGTAACCGTGTAGGACTATGTTTCGGTTCCATAAGTCATCACTGATTGCGCATTGGTTAAAGATCTTCGTCTTCAAACTTTGAGGTATTTTGGAGGTGAAAACATGATTTTCCGAACACTGCCCAACCAAGTTGGTTCGCCGGTTGACCTGTCGGTCGAAGTTGACATGTTATCTCAGTTACTCGTGAACAACTTCAGGCGTAGTGTTCTCAATCATAACTGGTATAGGTATGAAATAGACATTAGACATGGTTTTAGTCTTCTCCATGTTCATATTAAGACCTAATTGTTGGAAAGCATAATTGAGGTCATTGAACATAATATTTAATACCTCCAGAAATTTCGCCATGATTACTGTCATCGGCAAATCGAAACTGGGTGATGTATTCGCCATTGATGTTTTTACTATATCTTTTCCAGCCAGGAGTTTGAATACATCTTCCGATGCAGCTGTGAAAAGTTTCGGAGATATGACGTCACTTTATCTTATACCTTTCTGGACTGGGATGGGTTTCGTACTCTAGTTCTGTACTCGGATAGACATCGTAGCGTTACTGTAGAAACACTCCAATACTTTGGTAGTCAATCTGGCCCCGCTGGAGGGACTGTAGAACCGACCATGTCTCGACCGAATCAAAGGCTTTCTCATAGTCCACAAACACCAAACATAGTAATAAATTATACGCCATATACCATATAAGCCGTTAATAATCCTCTGCTGAACAATAGGCCTCTAACTTGAGGAATTTTGCCAATAGTTACCATACTTGACAGGCAGAAGATAGGCTATAGAATAGGCCACCCCATCCTTTCCCCTGGGTGTCGTAAGAGGCGACTAAGTACTTAATGGTTGAAAGATGGGGATTCTTGAAACATTACCAAAGCCTAACTGCAGCTGCCAAATCGACTGCCAAGCGTAACAACTACTGACAAATATCCCGTTAAGGAAAAGTCTACAGTGGACACTTAAGGGCAGATATAATAAAAAATCAATCAATAAATATTGGCGAAAGTATCGCGTAAATTACATGCGAATCAGCTTAAATCATTCTTTAACTTCCCTCCGGTGGTATAATAAAGTTGTATATACAGTCTGTAACTGGTACATACTAAAAACAAGTGTAGCGGAGCAAGCGTAGCAATCACATTTATTGCGCACAAGAATGAGTTTTATTGTCTGTAACTTTATAGCTTCTGCCATACTCCCATAGTCTGCAATTTTTCCTATATTAAAAGCAAAAAATCGACCAAGTATGTTCTTAAATACATATTTACAGGGTTCCGTAACTATTTTGAGTCGTAAAATCATATATGTATTTTTTTATTTCGTTAAGATGGTAAACAAGCAGGTATCACGTAGCATATGGACGCCTGCAATATTAGAAATGTCATGTGCGCGTAAAAGATATTGAAAAATAATATATGAAAGATCTTTATACAAGTAAGAGCAAAAGGAGCCAAAACTTTTTTTTAACCAGATGTGGCTCACGATTGCGTTCTTGAAAGTCGAACTTAAAATCTGCTGTATGTTTTATTGTCTATTTTTAAAATTCGTACGTACGAAGTCGCGGACTAAAGCTAGTAATAAACATTATTAAAATAATACAATAAAATTACCGATCGACAAAAAATATTTCATAATTTAAAAGTTTATTCCGCAAAGTATTTTTCATACAACTTAGAATGGCAAACAAGCTGAGAGCCCACCTGATGGAAAGTGGTAACCGTTACCTATAGACATGAGCAGTACCATGGACATAACAGAGTATACCCATGAGTGTAGAGTTTCACCCATGATACCCCCCATGGGTTGCCATTCCTGAGGACTTAGTTGTTATTCCTCTGTACCCTGTAAATTTACGCCATATCCCATCCTTCGAACCGAAACACAGCCATGCAAACACAACTGTTTAACGGTAGAAGTCGAATAGGACAGAGGTACCCAAGCAAACGACTTTTGTACAAAGTTTCCCTCTGGTTAATCAAAAGTTTATTCCACAAATCAAAAGTTTATTCCACACTTATCCTGACCAAATTTATGTTACATTAACAGCGAAGAAACCTGTTGATTATTTACTCGTATACTGATAATATAAAGAGAAACAATTTGATTGTTTGTTTGTTTGTTATGAATAAACTTAAAAACTACTCGAACAATTTTAATAATTCTTTCACCATTTTGCTTAATTTATAATGTAAATAGCTACATTATAATTAAGCGAAATGTCAGAGATCCCTACGAAAATTACAATAATGTAACTCAAAATATTAAAAAAATATCATTAAAACTCATGAAGTCCTAATATATCTTTTTATATAGTATTTTATATTAGCTTTAATAAGCAAATTTTTAAAACTGTGCAAAGCCGGATCGCTAGTCAAATTAATCATCAAAATTGATTCAGTTATAGACAAAAAAGAATACAGTTGATCTAAGAAGAGTCTCCTCTTTGAAATTGGTTACAAAGATTTTGCTATAACCTAATTTCACACCACACCACACCACAAATATAAAAGGCGTGATACAAGTTTCAAAGGCGGCACTCGATGAAAAATATCAGATATACATCAATGACATCGAGACGGGAATACTTACAAAGTTACCTCAAACCCCCTGCAAAGAAGAATTGACTTTGTTCTTTTAACAATAGGGTCTACGCAAACAATTGAGAAATCTTTGCAAATTCATAATGACGTCTTCGCAGGCTATGCCTGTGACGTCATTTGCGTCAAGGTGAAATTAAAGATGGGAGCTCAGAAGTTCTATTTCGTAACATTGTTTCGGGAACTTAAAAAACAGTAGCAAAAAGATTGAAACTAAAATTATATAATAATTATTTAACTAGTTTTTGTTTTAACAAGGTTTTACCCGCAGCCTTGTATACGCGAATTTTGAACTAATAGTTAATAGACCATTTACAATCGCCTATTAAGATAAAATATACACCTGAAGTTAAATTTTTAAGAACATACCTGTGAAAACCACATCCAAATTGGTATAGTAATTTTTGCTTAAAATTATTAAAAATTATTACTAACTTCCATTACTCTTATTAAGAGCCCTCATATAATTTTTTCTTAAATATCTCTTACGCATAGACATCATTTGGTTACTTTTTCTTTATTTTAAGAGCTCTTTCCATTACTCCGCTACATCCTGCTGGAACAATCTTCCGACACTGTTGCGAACTAAAAATACAAGAAATACTTTTTTTATACCACTGAGGTGGCAAACAAGCATACGGTCCACCTGATGGTAAGTGGTTTCCGTAGCCTATGAACACCTGGAATACCAGAGGTATTACGCGCACGTAGCCAACCCTGAAGAAACCTCTTCACCACCCTTTTGAAGAACCCCATGCTGCAGTCTCTTGGGAAAACCTCGGCAGGGAGCTCATTCTATAACCTGAGTGTTCGTGAGAGGAAACAACAAACTTTTAACAAACATTACAAAATATGTTTACTAAACAAACAAAAATCTACTTATCTTTCCGCTCTCGACAGTCAGCAGGGTTGTAGATTATTAGTATTTACCTATATGACTTTAGGAACTTCATTTGTATATTCGTACACCAACAAATGCATTCCCAAAGAGGGTTTTTTTTTTTATTGGTGAAAATGGTATGGTAACCCTGCCTGCGCTAACGGGATACGCCTGGCGAAGCACCAGTGAAGGATGGTAGATGAGAATGAAAACAGGCCAGTTAGCCCATCATGGTGAATTCATCAGGAATTAACCATGATAGTTTCCTGGGGGATCCGCTAGGAGGTCGACCTGGTAGGGCATATTGCTAGCAATGGGATTCTCAGTCTCCATTACTAACAATCCCTTTTCCCCCTTCCCAAAGAGGATTGACGTCAGGCAGGTGGCCGGTCGTAAAACTAATAACCAAATCTTTTTCTAATATGGATAAAATCATATTACGCCGACCCCAAATGATTGGAATAAGCGTAGGAAGATGATGAAGATGATGATCTGCAAACGATCTCACTTGTTTCACCGGTTTATTGTTTGTATTATTTTTTTATTATTGTTTTAAAACTGTAAGTAGTCATCCGTGAAATCTCTAAATGGCTTGCACAGAATAACAACGCTGTGGCAGTCAATAAACTGCCATTACGTAATGCTAAGTGCTGGCCACATTAATAACTAATGGTAGCAAATTAATATTATTTTTATTTTATTAATGCAATTGTTTGCCAATCAAGCTTATTCTTTCTTTTTTTTTTCTTTGTATATCCTTCTCCATTTCATATAGTATATGTACACCAAATTTTATAGTGATCGATTAAGCCGTTAAAAGTTAATAAATAAACTATATAAAGTTATATTTATAATATTAGCAATGATATTATGTACTTATTGTTAGTTGTTCGCTTTTACGGACTTACATCTAAAACATTGTTGTAGTCAAATGTCCATCAAACCTCCCAGGACTTTTATCATGTAAAAATATTTTGTGTTCATCTTGTACCTATTTCTAAAGGTCAAACAGTTGCGCAAAGATATATGAAACATTTTAATATACCACTGACTCGCGCCCAGTACAGAAGTAGCTGTTTCATAATACGAGATTTCACTATTTGTAATTATGTATGTAATAATAGTTATGATATATTTAATAGTAGCAGCAAAATAAATAAATAAATAAATAAACAAACAAATCGCTCACACCTGACGCCCAAATCCTGGATGAATTGTTGATGTGATAGCGATGATCTCTTTGATGAAACGTGACTTATGCACGTTCATATTCATCCTGTACCTATTTCTAAAGGTTAAATATTTGCAGAAATATATATGAAAATAGAATCGCTCACGTCTTGGCTCCTGGAAGAATTTTTGTTTAAATAGCGGTGATCTCTTTGATGAAACGTTACTTTTGTACTAGAAGCCATGTTCTTTTTATATGAGTATATGTTACGGGTTCGATTTCTAGTTTGTTTTTTTTAATTAATTATAATAAAACAGACAGAGCCCTTTGCTACTGATATACGCTGGCTGGTCACCAATGAGTAATAATCAAGTTATGGTCAGGATGAAATCAAGTCAGTTGGTACATCATGACGATTTCAACAAGTACTAACTATGATATATATTATAATTATATGATAATAAATTAATAACAACAACAAAAGATGTAGTTAATATTTTTGAAGATTTTTTTGCTAATATTCCGATTGATATTACATCTTCTCTGGACTCATCTCAATCTCGAGCAAAAAAATTACTAGAGACTAATATCGGTTGTTGTTCTTTAAGATTTAAATTTTCACATGTTAGCCCCTTTCATATCATAAAAATATTCAAACAGCTAAATTTAAAAAATACGGAAGACCTTTGGGGCATGTCTGTAAAAGTAGTTAGTTCTTTCATAGATATTGTTGCTCCATATCTAGCCACTATTTTTAATAAATGTATTGATAATGGCGTTTTTCCACATTTAATGAAATTTAGCAAATTAATCCCACTATTTAAATCAGGAGATAAATTTGAGCCAGGGAACTATAGACCTATATCTATTTTGCCAGTTCTAAGTAAGGTGTTTGAAAAGATAATGTTAAATCAAATGTTACATCACTTCAGGGTTAACGGACTGCTTCACAGTCAGCAATATGGTTTCACCGCCGGCAAGTCTACCACTGACG